AACCTCTTCTATAGAAGAGGTTAGAACTGGCAGGAACCCACCCCTGGTTCATTTCCACATGAAGTCCTCTTTTATTTTGTAAGAATGCATTTGGGGCTGCAAAGTGAGACACCAGAATTTTGCTGTTAAATTTACTGTAAATATTTTAAAAATAAAATTTGATGCAGCAAGGAGTTTCATAGCATCAAGCTTAGTGGCTCTAAGATGTCTATTTTTCTATCCAAATGCAGCTTACTATGCTTTTTTATTTCTGTTTTTTAAAAAATCATGTTTATTGCACAATACAAGTTGGTAAGTTGGCTCCAACAAGATCACAGTCTCAAACACTGAGAAAAAAATCAGATGTATATGTTTAATCAGGAAGAGAAATGCGATTATTTTATTAACATGTTTAAGTTTAATGACAGAAGAGCATCCAGTTTTATAATATTGACAGTTAATAGCAATGCAGTCAATAGTATAATTATTGCAAATGTCACACACCATGTTAAAATAATAAGCACTATCACTGATTGGGGGGGGTTGTTAGCAACATCTAAAGTATATATTTCTACAATTCCATAATATATTTACAATGGTAAAAGTTAAAAATGGCAGCAGAATTGCTTTCTTTTCCACATAGACATTCTATATCTCCAGCAGCTGCACAAACAGACAGAAGCAACATGGGTCCACTCCATGCCAGAAAAATGTTTGTTCATTTTTCTTTGTCATGCAGCTCTCAAAGAGCACCCTTCTCTGTAAAGACAGGGACAAGCAAACAATTCTTGGTAAAAAGCAGTCCGGATAAGATCCAATAAGCCTTTCTGGTCCTAAACCTAGAGCTACCAGATCTGGCACTGCAAATGTCAGATAATCACTAAATGGCACCAAAGCGATAAAACCCCTAACTTTTATTCTTTCCACTGCCCTCCATTCCAACATTCACTCTTTAAAGCTATCTAGCAGTTATCCTGATTTTTGCAGGCCACATCACATATTTACCTAAATCTGCAAACTGCTACTACATACACACACTGGTGTCTTTTCAACCACATACAAAACCAAACTGAGACAGAACTTCCATCTGCAATCTGGTACTTTCCAGATGATATGAATGAATATAGTTATTATCTCCAGCTTGAGGATGATATGGTTTTTAGTGTATGACATGTTAAAAGCATCAGGCAAAATTGAGATAACTTCAGGTTTTTTTAATTTCTGTATCTTTAAGAATCTCAGAAAAGGTTATAATTCGTGATATACATAAATTAACACAGCAACATGCAATACATATAAATAATACTTTTAAAAGCCTCAACCAAAAGGAATCATAATATAGAGGTACAGATTTTCAGAAGGAATCATAGAGCATGTTCGGGCTATGTTAAGATTTTACTGCAAGAGTAAAAAAAACAGAGCAATATTGTACAATATTAGGGAAGGGCATTTAAAAACTCTAGACAAAGAAAGAGGGAGTGGGAGAGACAGAACATAGGAAGCCCTCTCCCACATTCTTACATCATGCATATCTCCCAGGCACAGCGGTTTTTAAGAGAGCTTTCTTTCTGCTTCGGATACATATTACTGGAACAGATATTTCTCAGACTTCAGGGTCTTTAACCATTGTTTAAGACCTTAAAAGTTATTATGAAAACTCTGAAACCTGACTTGTAGCATATAGCGTATTTCCTTTAGGATGTTTGAAACAGCTGCATTCTGTACCAGTTGCAACAGTTCCAGCCAACTGCAAGGCATTCTGCAGTAATTGTCAGACTTTGTGATATTGAGACTGTTGGAAGAAAAATCCAGGTCCAGTTCTAAACTGGGAATAAAATGGAGGTTGATTGGAAAGAAAGATTCTGTTTATTGGTGAACAGAACCAACACACAGAGAGCATACAGTTCTGGTACAGCTAACAAAATGGAGTTGAGAGTGGGTGGGTTTTTATACCTTCTTTGGGCTTTGTATTTGAGTTTCCTATTCCTGTGCAAGAACATGCCTCAAATTGAACTGGATTTAAGTGAGAATCAACCCATCACGTTTCCAGGTTGGAGGGTAGATGTTCAGTTCCACAAAAGAGATTCAAATTAGTATCCCCCACCCACCTCTGCTCTATTAATTCCAGTGCACTCCAAGGACATTTCCAAGGAGGTCTTTATGCCCATTCAAAAGGAACTCTGGTTTCTTGTGATCCCATGTTAACTGAGTTTAGTCTGAGCCTATTTCTGTTTTAATCAAAACAGCGATGATGATGATGATGATGATGATGATGATGATGATGATGATGATGATGATGATGATGATGATGATGATGATGCAGCAGCAGCAGCAAATCATAATCTTTTTCAACAGGGAGATTTTGGAGAGACTATAGGTATTTTTCTGCAGGAAGGATCTCTTGCTTTATCTTTCCTTTTTCTTTCTGAGTTTTAGCCCTCTTAGCAAGTCCAGGAAGGGGGAATACTATTTTTACATAAAAGAGTGAAGAGGCCCCTTTTGTTTCTCAATCTTTTTTTCCCCTTCCCTTTTGGGATGGAGGTGGGAGAATTGATTTTGGTTACCCCAGTGCAATCAAGTTGGTGGCAGCATAGAAGTGCTGTTCCTGTTTTTGCAACATAAGCATTCTGCAATTGTTTTAGAATGTACTAAGGGAATTCTGGGCTATCCTTCCATTTTAAGGTGATCTCTAGTAGAGGATGAATGGTGGCTTGATAGGCAGATTCACACCATTGCAAGCATCAGATTGATTTGTATATTTTGTGAACAGGAAAATGCACACAGTACATATTTTAAAACACAAAAGAGCAAACAATAATGTGTTTCATTTCCTTTTTCTGTGGAATGATGACAAGGATTGGGAGAGGGGCATTGCTTCAAGACTTGCAATAGCTTTGATATGGTAAATAGTTATCTAGAACAAATCATGGAAAATAGCAAACGTATTGTGATGATTGATTTGTCTTCTTATTCTGCCTCTCTATGTGTCAGGTCTGGAAGCCATCTTTTGCCTTGGGCCTTCCAGCCTCCACATTTAAAGCTGTGGGAAAATGGGAGGAGGGATAGTATGGAATATGCGAGATATATAGTCACAATAACTTTCCTTTGTCAGAGAGTCAAGGACATCTTGTCCTGCACCTGGAGGAGTGCGACTGGGAGACATCTTTAGTTGGGACAATGCCTGATTGGGCCATGTGATGGACATGTGGGTGCTGGGCAGGGACTTTGACATTCATTTGGGTGGGAAAAACCTGGAAGCTTTCAGATTCGGGTTTTCCAGATGTGCAAATATGACATCTCTAATAAATTTGAACTTTGAGGAACTTCAAGCCTCGGAGTCTTATTTCATTGGAGAAGTTAATTGAAACTCTGACATTAACCCGAATCCTATTTAAAAACTCTAACCAGCTCCAAAACCTCGGGGTGCTGTCCGGGGTCCTGAGCCCCAAACACCAATTCATGACACTATGTGGTTCTATTATTCTCAGATTGATAGGAATGAAGATGATTAGTAGGCTTATTTCAAATTGCTTTGGAGGAATTGAGCAATGGACAAAACTACGATTCTGTTTCTCTGAAAGAGGTGAGCAGTGAGCACAGAAATGTCTTACAACTCCTATCCCTCAAGTTTTTTTAAATGCATTCCCTCCCCAGGACATTTCACCCAGCAAAATGACAGTAATTCCTAGTAATCCCTGACTGACTGCACTGTTTTTCATTTTTCTGTTTTGGATCTTTATCAATTATAGGTGAAAATTGAGAACCAGCATGATTTCCAGGACATTGTAAGTGTGGTAGCCATGGCCAAAACGTATGTCACGACAGAAAGTTTTGTGGACTCCAAATACGACATCCGAATCCAGAAAATAGGCAACAATTACAAAGCTTACATGTGAGGGGTTTTTTTTTATACAGATATTGTGACTATGTTGAAGAGATTTTGTTTTCAATTTAAAACAAAAGTAGTAACCAAAGAAATGTTAGAATTCTAAACGCATGTTACATTCTAAATATTGCATTCTTCTCTTGTTTTAAAGGCTAGCCAAGAAAAGTAATGTATGTTAAATGAAAAGAGAAATAATAACTTTGATATAATGCATTCCCTTCTGGTGAGGCTTTAGGCAGCTGCCAAACATATTGTCTTAACAGGATTCTGAATCACTAAAGAAATTCACACATGTTGCGGTTGCTTTGCTGTTCAGCAGCACATAAAAAAAGAC